ATGAACACCTGGAACAATGTTGGGGACAGCGTGCAACCTTGTAGGACCCCCTGCTCAATGTTGAAGAATTTAGACAGCTCTCCGCCTGACATGACCGCGCTTTTCGTACACATCTTCTTCAGCGCTCTCCACATTTTCCGCTTGATCCCGTACTTGGACAGTTGTTTCCACAGCCCATTTCTCCATACGGTGTCTTATGCGTTTTTCACGCCCAGAAAGAAGCAGTACGTCGGCTTTCCCGCCCTCGTTCTACCTTAGATGATTATCCCTCCCGTGAATACGTGGTCTATGCACCCCCGCTTCTTTCGGAAACCTGCCTGGCCCTCACTAATGCTATGTTCCTTCTCCAATACCCCCACTATCCTATCGTTCAGCAGCTTACAGAACACTTTTCCTACTGTGTTCAATAGTGTGATCCCCCTGTAGTTTCCTGGGTCAGTCTTGTCTCCTTTCTTAAACAAGTTCACAACCACTCCTTCCCTCCATCTACTTGGCGTGTACTTCCTCTGTATCATAACTCTGGTCTGTTAGGTTTATACGCCGCCTTAACGGTGTCCGACCTGTTTTTCGTTTTTTTTGTTGAATTCTACGGCGTTTTTTGAGCAAGAAAACATTTCTTTTTTAAGCTGGTGCTTGAACCATGAGACTAAACGGCCGGAAAACTTTGAATCGGCCCAAAAACGGCAATATGTTGCCCTTTTCCGGGGGGTGGGGTACATGGGGCGTTGAGCCTAACCCCCCCAAAAAACCAACAACTATCCCCAACCCTAAAGCTAACCCCGCCTAGACTCAGCCATCCACAATACGTCCCCCATACTAAAACCATATCGATAGTGACCCTCACTATAAATTCAATACAATTTGGGGTCCACACTAAAACCAAAACACTTGAGGATCCCACACTAAAACCAAGACACTTGTGGGGCAAAAAAACAACAGAGTAGGGCCCGAATCCTCCCCCTACTCAGCGACCCACATCGCGCCCCGCTATACTCAAAGCAGTATAATAGTGGCCCCACACGAAAACTAAGACACTTGGGGGTCCCACACTAAAACCAAGGCACTTGGGGAGCCCACACTAAAACCAAGACACTTGCGGGCAGAAAAAGTGTCGGTTGGTGACGGTGGGCCCAGCGCACCCTTGGGTATCCGTACTTGGCCCGACGGAATAGCAAGCGCAGCCTCCACTACATTTGCAATGCGGCGGCCCACTGAAAGCTCCCCGCCCTTGGAGCGATGTGGGAGGGTACTTGGGGGCGTATCCATCGTTTCCATAGTGTGTGGGGGGTGGTAATCACGACGTGAATTCTAAAAAAAATGTCAAATAAATTCTCAAAACAGGCCAAAATGGGCATATTTTGACCTAATTTTAGTGTATAACACGGTCTTCGATTTCTTATTTTTTTAGTCAGCTTTGCATATGTCTTGCCTTCCTAACGAACCCAGCCAAAGGCTAAACGTCAACGTGTGAGCATCTTGACTACTACACGCACAAAACAGACCAGACTTATGATACAGAGGAAGTATTCGTTTTTCCACACCCAATTGTATAGCAGTACCATCAGCTGGATCATCCCCTTCCCCCCAAACTTCATGAACTCGTTGACTATCCCATCCGCTCCTGCTGCTTTGTGGCACTTCAGCTTGTTCACACACGCCTCAACCTCGTCCTCAGTGAACTCCTTTTCTAGTTCTACGTTCCCAACGTCTGCCTTCGATGTCTCTTCTTCTTTTTGGGCCCATGCGTCCACCTCCTTCTTAAACGCTTGGTCAAAAGCTTCATTCTCCGAGGGCACTCCAAGTCTCTTGTAGTGTCCTGCTAGAACTTCCCTTTTTCCCTTCCCACTGCTGACTAATCCACCGTTCACACCTCGCAAAGTTGCTACCCCTGTATCCCCCCCTTGCGCGGCTTTTTTACCATTCCACTAATCACTAATCCCTTCCCACATCTGCTTGACGTTCCCCTCGAGGCCTCCGTTGGCCTTCTGCACTACGTCCCAAATACACTTTTTCTTCTTTTTCACTATTAATAGTCCCTTCACCTGTTTTCTCTTGGCCCTGTATTCC